TTGATAACCCTGCTCCAGCAACCTGTAGGGAACAAGAAGAGAGGAAAACTGTTGCGGAATTAAAAAGGAAAGAACGGACCAAAGCTAGTGGGAGACATGGCACAGTTAGGCTCCAAATGAACAACAGGTCACAGAACGAAGGGGAAAAAGGGTTTAAAAGACTGACTGTTTTGTCTAGATGCCTCTTATCAAATAGGATGCACACACTTTCACGAAAGAATTACTCCACCGTCAGATATGGTGCAGTTATCCTGCTCTCGGGCCGCTGTCAGTGTGCATGCCCTGACCATGAAGCAAACAGGAAAGAACTTGAGATGACACACCCTTAGATGAAGGAAGGATGTCACAGCCATGCAGCACAGGAGATTACCACACAAGAGATGAAGCCCTGTTTGTGTTTGCACACCCATGCCCTCCCTCATTCTTTAAAAGGAGAAATATAAGATCGCTACTCAGATGATTTTTGGCATCCATCACCAGTTTCCTGATACACATCACCTCCTCAGCTTCTATTTTCACAAACATCCACAAAAGGTCAAATGACGTAGAAGTCAGGCATTATGCTCCCTTCAGAGAGCAGGACTGATGTCCAGAAAGGTGTGGAGTCATAAAAGCAGCTAATGTCGAAGCAGTCTTGAATGCTGACCTCAATTTTTCTGCTACTAGAACATCCTTCTTACTAATGTCTTGCCCAAAACAAAATAGAAACAGTTGTGTCTACTTTTCACCCCCTACTGTTATCTTTTGTAACAATCTTAATGCAAGGATTGCTCAGAACAAGAAGTGGAAAACAGCACATTTTGGTTTTCATGTGAACAGAAAGAAAAGAGCAACCTCCCAATAAGAGAGCCTAAAAAAGGCCCAAACTGAGTATCTCAGAAATGAGTATCTCACCTCTTATCGCTGTTAGAAACCTTGGTTTGTAGGCTACTGCACTTTTGGCCTGAAATTTAATTTTAGATGATATTTATCCTAAATTGCTGATGCATTTTAATGGTCTGGTTTGACATTCTAATACTTCTGCACTAGAAAGACCAGCTTTGCACTGTCTGTGGAGTCTGTACCAAGGGTCACTAGATGCCGTATCCGAAATGTTTGTATACTTGGCAGTCAACCCCTAGGGCATGGAGGAACACCCCTTAGGAAGCCCTGCGTGCCCACGAATAAGACAGGGTTCTGATTAGCTGACTTTCAAACCCACCTTTAACAGAGAGCTTAAATATCTAAGTTAGCAGCTGAGGAATGAAGGCAGAACACACAGCACGTGGAGCTATTCCGTCTGCTTACCGCTGCAGGAAGACATCATAGTAGTCTCTCTTCATGCACTTTGCTGTGATCTGCTTGTACTCCTTCAGCAGACGCCGGATGGCATCACTCAGCGCTCCGTACAAACAGCGCTCCCCATCAAATGTGTTTGCCTCACATTTTGCTCCTGCAAAATGGCAACAGATACACATCAGCAGGCAGCTGCACCTTTCACGTGTCACTGAATGATCACTAAACAAGTGTGACACTTGGCTGCTGATGTTTCACCATGATCTCTTATGCTACTGTGCTTTATTATGAAAATTCAACTCCTCCTACACCTGCATCACCTAATGCTGTTCTTCCACCACTTCATTCCTTTCTGAAGACATCATGACTCATTTATACTGATTTTGGTAATAAGTGTCTCAGCACGATTCCAGCAGCGTTCAGAAAATAATCTCACTGCAGAAAGCATGACCACCTACTGGACTTTAACAGCTCCTTCAGAAGGCATTTCTGCCTTGTACAAGACACCTCTTTAGAACAGGCTGTGCTAGAAATTTGAAGGACACTTGCATTTTCCTATTTCAGAAACACATGTGGGGTATATTAAGGTGCACGGAATGCAGCAAAAGGTACACTGAATGCACCAAGTGTTAAGGAACTTGGGTGCTGAGAACCTAAGGGGCAAGCACTTTCCATGACAGTTTGCCTTACTTTGCTTAAGGTCAGCAAAAAGCCTTTGCATTTGAGTCCTGCCTGAAGCAAGGCTAACAGAAGTTTTATATGGGTTCCTCAAATGAAGTACAATTCTTACACCAACATACTTCCAAAAGAAATGCACACTTCCAGAACATTGTGAATTCTGAAAGTCATGCTGTCCCTTAAGTTAGCATGGAAAGCTTCCCTGAAGTAAAGTCAAGCAGCAAGTGGTCTGCAGAAGGGGTCAGGATGATCTGCAGTGACCAGAGAGTCCCAAAGGCAGCCAGAGATCATTGATCAGATAGTTCATTAAAAAAAGAAGCTTCCACAAGCTACATTTAGAACAATATTGTCTCCACAGACAAGTAAGAAGAAATATAACTGGGACACTTTTGCTCACCATTGGCTAGAAGATAGCGTACAAGGTCCTCATGTCCACAGAGGCAAGCATAATACCTGACAATAACAAGAGAGAGAAAACTGAAGATATAATAGGATGCAAAATTCAGTGTTTGGGCACAGCATGCGAAATTTAGCACTGAGCTTCCTGTGATACGCTTAGATGGCTGCTCATAGGAGCGAGGAACTGCTCCCAAATAACATGTAAGCCTGACCCCAGCAATTGAGTAAGTAGGATCTGTTCCCAGAACTTATAGGCACTGCTGTCTTGCAAGGAGATCTCAAGGTCCCAGTCTGAGTTCCGCATCTTCTGTTGCACCACTGGCTGCCAAATCTGCCTCCTCATTTTAACAGAGTTCATTTCATGGGCACTCTGCAATCCTACTGAACTCTCAGGAACACTCCTTTGGATGTCAGTCTGCTGCATAATGCGACAATGAGGAAATAGCATTCATATCACACATACAGAGAACACACCCCTCAAAGTCTTCTTACAATATTTTGTTACTTCCTTCACAATCTGAGGCTTTCCTAATTCACTATCACAAAGAGCCCAAACTGTCCTACAAATTAGGAGAATCCTATCACCTGCACTGTAGCCAGCAAATATGGTTTCATTTTGGGAAGTTACTCCATATTCTAAATATGTTGCAGATGTCTAATGCTGCTTTGGAATTAGGATGCAGGAACTTACAAAGTTCATGTGACCCTCCTCAGCGTCAGCACAGATTCCTCACCACCTATGGCAAATTCACAGCCTTGCCAGACAGCAAACCCACCATCACTTCGCATTTCATCAGGTCATACCTTCATCTGACAAGGCATGCTAGAATGCCATTGACCTTAATGGAAAAAAAAAAGACCTACCCAGGACAAAAACAAACTGCTCCATCCAAGTTATTTGGTCACAAAATTAACTGTGCTTCTCAGCACTATGCCAGCACGTGTCCCTTAGTGAGACAAAGGCACATTTATCACAGCACCCACAGAGGAGAGCAGCAGAAATATGCAGCCAAATCACCTACAAAGCAGAACCCAACTCATTTTGTAACAGAGCTCCCAGCTGTGATGCAGAGAGAATGAAAGAGCCCTGAAAGCCCTGCCCTCCCACCCAGCCAGCACTCTAGGGTGCAGAACTCACAGAGGTGTACTGTCCCACTTATCACGGACATTGATTTCCACATCTCGCTGCTCAAGAAGGTATCTGGAAGAGAAACAGGAGCAAAGTCATACCTTCATGCAGTTGCTCACTCAGACACGTTCTCCTCTTTAAAAACACGCAAGTTTGAGTTTGTACAGTAACTTCCAAAGGCACAACAGGATCTTGCATTCAACCTGGGGAGACATCAGCTGTGGCTGAAGGGGCATCAGGCAAATCAAAGAACTGCAGCACAGGTTGGTGGCTCCTTTGGTCTTCATTTGTGTAAGGGAAGAAAGGAATCAAATCCACTCCTGCTGACCCACAACAGGGCCAGTGCCATAAGAAAAGTAGGAGCACTTCAGCAGTACCTTCATATCCTCCTAAAATGCTCACATCCTGGATACTCACGACACGTGGCCAAACTTAACAGGGCAAGGCTGGACTCCTTACCCTGTCTGCAGCTTTTCTTTCCATGACACCAGTGTCACTCCAGACTGCCCTTAATTCCTGTCGCTCCCTTATCCTGCTCACTTATCAAGCACTGCCAACTCTTCCCCTTTGGCATCTCTAGAAGCCAACCTTCTCCTTATGCACAGGTCTTCCTCCCAAGCAGCCTGGCTCTTGTTACAGCCCATTCCCACCTACAGTGACAGCCGTCCCAATGAGCCACATGGAGGCTCTCAAACATTCTCCTCACCCACATCAGTTCCTCCTTTCCCTTCCTCCATCCTTCCTTCCTTCCTTCCTCAGCCTCACCTGATTGCCCACTCAGTTCCGTCCATCTCAGCCCACTCTGACTCCATGTGGAGCTTGTCCCCTTTGCTTTCAGTGTTCTCAGACTGATAGTTTCTCCCCTATCATGTCACTGCTCGCTACCTGAATTCTCTGCAAGGTCACCCGCAGGGCCCCTCATCCTACAGCTAAGCCGCACCGTACCACTGCAACGAATTAAGCCGATGTAAGCGTACAACTGGTACAAACGGCCACCAGGCCTCACCCACCAGCAGGAAAGGCGCAAGCTCTGCCAGCCGTCCCACACCGTCGCCCACAGAGGCAGCAGGCTCGCGGTGCCCGCCCTGCCGCCGAGGAAGGAAGGCCGGGGATCGCGCAGGGCGAGGCCGCGAAGCGCCCACACCCCCACAGCCCGAGCCCCGCTCACCGCACGCGGCTCACGTCCCCCTTCTTGCAGCTGGTGAACAGATCGTTGGTGTCCATGGCCGGGGCAGGCCGCGGGGCGGCGACGCCGCATTGACTCTGCGGGCGGAGGGCAGACGGCCGGGCCGGGGCGCGGGGCCGGAGGGGCCGCGGCAGCGACGGGACGGAAGCGGTTGCGGATGTAAACACGGAGCGGGCGGGGCGGCAGGAGAGGCTCCGCCGCCGCGAGAGGAAGTGAGTCGAAGCGCAGCGCCCCCCGCGGCTCGGAGGATCAACCGCCGACCGGCAGCTGCAGGTCCGAAGAGGAACGCGGGGACTGCGCGAGGAACGGGAGCAAGAGCAGGGGCTGCGCTCGGGTCAGAACGGGCAGGGGACGGGGGACGGGCTGGCTGTGCTGCTGGCAGAGTCGAGGGACCTCGCTCCAAGAGACGAAGTTTAAGGAAGACGAACAAGACAGAGAAGCAGAGGCCACTCGGGTCAGTGGTCAGACACCACAGAGGTGCGTTTTATTGCAAAGAAACCAAAACCACGGCCTCGGCGCTTGCAGGGCCAGACACGAGTGTTTGTATTGCCCAAGGAGTCGCCAGGGCTGGCGGCCAGCCGGGGGTCCAGCAGGAAGGAGGGCTGCGAGAAGGTGGCCGGGCTGAGCTCACAGAAAGCCTGCCAGCAGGGCAAAGCGCTGAGCTGCTCCTCGGCCCCTGCAGAGAACTGGCAACAGAGGAGCTGCAGAACGCACCAGCCATGGTGGGATGCTGCTGCGCTGCTTCAAGGAGCCATCATCCATGCATTGCTGTTGCCTCTATTTCACACTGCACACTGCCAGGTGACAGGTAGAATGCTGGCAGCCTGCATTACAGATAGCACAGCTCAGCAATTAGCAGGCAGCTCTCTCTCCCCCTGCCACACCACGAGGCAGGCTGCAGGAGTCAAGGACTCAGCACATGTGTTTCTACACCCTTCTTTACAGACCCCATTCAGGACATCTCAGCAAGATCTGGAAGCAATCTGAAGCTGGGCCATCCCTGCCCCACCTGGCTACTGTCCCACAGAGATGGAGTCGTTCTGCCCATGTCCACACATCCAGCCGACACCAGCACTGCAGCTCTGGGGCACAGAGTCACTCATGCCAGCACCCACTGAGTTCTGACAAGCCACATTTGTTTCCAGGCAGAGCCTCCAACTTCTGGCCGTAGTCCTGGAGGAGAGGGGGGGCAGAAGGAGCCATGAGGCTGGGATTGCTGTCCAGGGCCCCTACTGGTGACACAGGAGAACGTCCCATCTCATCACTTTGCAGACAACGACATCCTTGCACAAATCATCCCATCCGTGCTCAGTGTCATGGCAGCCCCTGTGAGTAAAGCAGGTGACTGTTCTAGGCAAGTCGCAGGAAACAAACATCCGCAGATAAAGAGAAGGGAAGAAAGTCCTTTTTTAATTTTTTGTTTCCGACTCTTCAGCAGCCACCAGGTGTCAGTGCGATCAAACGTTTGGCAGATGGGACCACAGCAAAGTCCTGGGAGGTGGAAAACACTTTTCCTGGAATTACTCTGTCTTCTGTCTGCTCTGGAGCCTGGTGCACCCCTCTGAGAAGACCGGCTTTGACAGTCTTTGTTAAAAACAAGTTTAACTACATTAAATTGATAGAAAAGTTTCCCATAACAACTGATAAACTTTCTCTTCCTTTTTAAGTCCTCCCTGTAGAGACCTGGACCCAAGCTCTGAACAACAAAGTGAAACGGGCTACAGGTAGCCTTTCTACAGCACTTCCCAGCCTGCATGTGCCAGGAAGTGACCCATCTGCAGGGCTTGCAGGAGAGGACAACAGTGCAATTGACTTAACAAATCGGCCTAGTGCAAAAAATGATACAGAGGAAAAAAAAAACAAGTGGAAAAGGAATAAAAAGATCACCAGACTACAATGAAATGCTATTAGCCAGTAGATTTCCGGAGATAAACTGAGATCATATAGCCAAGTGCACCCTGCCAGGGACATCAGAATATTGTTCTGGCCTTTGTGATAGCCACCCTCAGGCATTCTCAAGAAACCCTGGAGCACTCCAGATTCAGAGAAATCCACTACAGGCTCTAAAATACAGTCAGGCTGTAAAAACCCAGGGCAGCAAACCAGGAGGATTTGCTAGGTTATTAATAAGCCTCAGTATCCTCCTTGCTTTCTTTAGAATTTGAAGACTTAGACCAGATCAGGAGGTGCTGAGTCCAGCAAGAAGCTCACTTTATCAGCACCTGGTTGTTTTTCTTAATAGCGCAGAGAGAAAAGGAGGCAGCAAAGCAGCTCCTAGCAATGAAGTGCACCAACAAAGTCTTTTGTGTGTGAACTAACCCACATCTGACTGGTGGCTGTACCTTCCTAACAGCCACTGGGTTAAAAAAACAAACAAACAAAAAAAACATATTTAGTGAAGATTACTGGATTTAGAAACATTTATACAGTGAAACTCCCTAAAGGCCACAGCCATGCCAGGCCCTGTTATACTAAGTGCTATACAAACTCAAATTTAAACTCCATGCTTTAAATTTACTCACCATATTATATGAACAACTCGCATTTAATCCCGTGAAGCCCAAAATGCCATCAACACAGCCAATGAAATTGTGCAGTTTCACTGCACGAACCCACCAAATTCAGCAGGAGTCATCAGTGAGGGATGGTCAGCAAAGGGCCACACGTGGCCATCCGTGTGCACTCACTGCTCCCCCACACCAGCCACCCATTATCAACTGCTAGGGCAGGAGAGGGAACTCCTCTGGGCATCTCTGCAGCTCTGCCAACAAGATACAAAAGGAGCTGGTGGTCACCATCTCTTACACAACATAAGGGAAAAGAGGCGGAATAAACACTGAAAATTGGAATCTGGATAGGAAACCAAAGGCCGCGACTTTTCTTGAATGGTCCTACATCAAGGTGATCTGTGATTCAGTTTGTATGCAAAGCGCTATGCAAAATGAAACAGACTCTTTTGTACCTTGACTTTAGGGACTTACATCAGGGATGGATATGCTAAAAATACCTATACATACAGAGATAGACTTACAGACTGCATATCTGGAATCTTTCTGTGAAAGGCCTCCTTAAAGACCAAACGTGAGCTGCAAGGAAGCAGATCACCGTAATGGACAGGAATAGCTTTGCCACTGACCTAAGCAAGTCCCTCAATCCCTGCTAATAGAAGAAACAAATGTTCTGGGATTCCAGGCTTGAAAGTAGTTCCAAGTCTTGATTTAGACAGAGCTCAAAGAACAATTATGCACATTCACGTGCCTTTTATCACACATCTTCAGGGAGCCGGGGCCTCAAAATTGCCTGAGGCATGCCTGAAAAACATTCACTGGGGAGCTCTTAGATCTGCTTCTCATCTAAACAGGCTTTTACACTTGTTTGAATGAAGCAATTTTGAAGAGTTACCCTGATTTACACCAATATGACATTAAACACTTCACACTTCAAGGCAGGATCCTGGAAAGGAAACAAAAGGGCCAGAAATTTATCAGTTTGAGTTTTCATTTTTCTCTCTGTTAAAAACCTCCCATAGCCCTTATGCTTACCTCGAAAAGATTAACTGAAACCAAATTATCCTGGAAAATGGAATGGGAGTAGAAAAGTGCTGCCAATCTACGACTGAGATGAGGGATACTTTGCTGCTAATTTCATTGCTGTTAGGTGAAAGAAGCAGGTAAAGGTCCTTTTTGAGCAACTCTCCAAACTAGCAAACTTCCAGCTGAGATGATGCACTATGGCACCAAATTCTCTGCAATCAGCCAAACAAGGGTAAAGTGCTCAGACTTTGCAAGCTCAGCTTGGAGCTGTGGAAGTGAAAAAGGAATGTGGGCTGTTTAAGGGTGTGAGGTTGAAGAGGAAAAATAAAAGAGATGACACTGAGATGTTCTTCCCAGACATAAACATCTGAATCCTAGACTGCTACAAAAACCTCTTTTCATGGAGTGGAATGCAAACTCAGCCCAAGATATCAACAGAGTTGTGACTCCCTCCATCCAGAACAGCCTATACGTTTTACAGCACCTACAGGGATTGAATGCAACCTAGAGATAAAAATCCAGGTGTATCAAGGTCAGGATCTGGCTGACATAATTTCAGCTGGACTCTCAAAGTGTATTAATGCCCCAAAGCTGAATTCTCAGTGCTAGACCTAGCCTCAACTCCTTTTTTTCAAGCCCAGTCACTCTCAGCCACTACCAGAGAGCTACAGTAAGTGCATTTAAAGGTGATGAAAGCATTGGTGCTACTGATAGGAACACACACACAGAGACCTACCCACCCACCCATCCCCGCTTCCCTCTGTTCAGTGATCCTCCTGGCTCCAAACAGATTCAGGCTCAGGACTTCCATCGGGAAAACTCGCCCAAAAAATTCGACCCATCCCGAGCCTTTCAGTTGTTCCTGATAAGCCACTTGATCCCATGGTCCATCAGTCAAGATAGGAGACAATTATATTTCAGGGGGCTGTTCCCTCTCTTCTTTTTCTAAAGATGTGTGTCTTCCTCAAACACATCCACATCCTCGCTTGCCTGCTTATTGATCAGGACATCCCAGCTGTCGGGGCCATTGATGGTGTTTCCACCATTCACGCTTGGCTTCTTCTCCTGCATTTCTGACTGGCTGTCACTTGCCACATCCAAGGTGGGGTTGTCATGGCAGCCGTTCTCAACAAAGCGCAGCTCTTCACCATGTGACTGCAAAGGAAGGAGAGGAGCACAGAGACAAGTGAAGATAGGTCTTAGTGCTGCTGAGCACTAAATTTATTCCTGGCCCAAACCCTGCAGCAGAAAAGAAGCATCCCGAGCACATCAAGAGGTGTGCAGGTTTACATCTCTCCTATGCCTACACAGCTTCCCTGCTGCTCCAGCAGCGTATCCAGCTATGTCCACAAAGTGGACAGGGAAACCCATCTCCCTCAACTTTCCAGATCCCTTCATCCCAAGGGATTCATCCAACCACTTTTCCCACCTGTCCAGTGCTCACCATGTTCTTCATCTTTGGCAGGCGTCTCTGCCAGCAGTTGTATATGAGCCCCAAGACAATGATGATGGCACAGATGGAGCCAATGATCACCAGTACCACAAAGAGTTTCCCATAATCACTGCGTGTCTGATTGGGATGTGACTGACAGCTTGTGGTGGTTGAATAGTTCTGGATGCCAATCTGAAAGGAAGCAAGGAAAGAAGCAGCTAAATCCCCTGGCCTGCAATCAGGTAAGATCTGCTCAGTTTTCTGGGTTTAAGTACAGGACCATCACTGCGGGCAGAGGAACTAAAAGTCAGGGTTAGGAGTCAGTATGTTCACTGCCTTACATGACTAGAAGGCACACAAGCAAGTTCAACACCATCTTCCTTGAGAGCTGGCCAATCAGCCAAGTGTCAGTGGGCATAATCCTGCCTTGACTGCTTGCACAAGGATCACACTAATGTGCAACCAGGCTTTCGTGGGAGAAAATATCCAAGATTTAGTTCCCTTTTAATTGTCAGCAAAGCCCAACATCGTTCCCTGTGACTTGGTGAGTTCCAGCCTGGTTATGTAACAATTCAATACTAAGTATGATGGGTGTAAGAGAATATCCTCCCTCTTCTTTCCAAGCCCAGGCTGGCCCAAGGTCAGTGCAGTGAGCAGTGTTTCATTATTGATAGAGCTGGAGAGTCAGAGGCAGGCAGTAGGGCTACTGTGTAGGATGCATGTTAACATGGGGGTATTGTTGAACACAACTCAAACCTCACACTGACACGAATCCTTTCTGGACAGTTCTAGCTGCTGATACTTCAGTCACACTATTTCTACAGGGTTGACTTTTTAGTACTTTCTCTAGTGTAAGCCAATCAATAACACACTGAGAACTTAATTTCTTTATCTAACTGCTCCAGTTTGTTAGGACAGGGAGAAGCCTGAGAGGAGACTTCCAGCAAGATGGTGGCTCAATTCTAATGCTAAAGTCAGCAGAATTACTCGAAGAGTGTTTAAAAGGGGGAAAGAGAAAAAAAAAGAAAAAAAAAAAGCAGCAGTCAGGCCTTCGGTCCCTAAGTGTCAAACTCAGATCATGGGACTATTTTGCCTTCATCTCTTCACTCTTCCAAGTTGCCCACAATTAGAGGCAAATACATGAGGACAGGAGGCAGTTAGCATTGGAATCTGGCATCCATCACCTGTGGTTCTCTGCCTGCCTTTGTGGAGGCAGTTATCAAAAAGGAGTGAAACGCAGACCCTGGGATAGCAGAAGGAAGGTTGGTGAGTGTGTCCCATCTAGTACAGGCACCTCTCTCACCTCCTTCAGCAAAGGCTGAGCAACTGGCAACAGCCATCATCAGCAGATCAAGCAGGGCTGATTCTGGGGCTCTGCAGCACTCACATCGCCACAGGCAAGAATGTGGAAGGTATGAGACGAAGTAGCCCAACCAAATGAATGTGTGAAAAGCAACTTCAAAACTAAGCCAGAAGAGCAGGCAGGGAATAAACCACAGTCACTCTCTTAATGGGAACAAACATTTGATGATCTAGCAACTACCAGAGAGGGGTAGAAGGGACTTTGCCAAGCGTCAGATTAATCTGTGTGCCTGCTGTGGGTTCAGCACTTGGTTAGACTGAGATGCCTCCCAGTTTGCAAGGTACTTATTTTAATTGTATAGCCAGT